CTTAGCAATTTTGAATTATCTTGATTTCAACATAATGCTGATTGCATTTGAAAACAGGTAAAGATGTATCATATCTAAAACTTGTTGGACACAGATTTGCTCATTAATTCTACCATCCAGTTCTGCTCTTTTGGCTGAAAGCAGTGCTTTCATTGTATTCTGTTTCCGAATGGGGAGGGTTATCTGAGCATTCAAGTGTAAGGATGTTTCACTAGAGACCAAAGTCAAGATCATTCACACTATTGTATTCGCAATCACTACGTATGGATCTGAAAGCTGGGCAGTGAAGAAAGCTGACATGAAGAAAATTGATGCATTCAGAACATGGTGTTGGAGGAGAGCTTTGCAAATATCCTGGAAAAGTAGAAAGATGAACACGTGGTTCCTAGATCAAATTAAGCCAGAGCTTTCCCTAGAAGCAAAGCTGTTGAGGCTGTCATAATGTGGACACATATTGAGAAGGTAAAGCTCCTTGGAGATCTTGCCAGGGAAAGTTGAAGATAGAAGAGGAGGAAGACCAAATATGAGATGAATTGACTCCATAAAGGAAGCCACACCCTGGAATTTACAAGAGCTGAATAGGGCTGTCATGGATAGAAAATTTTTAAGATGTATTCATAATGGTTAAAAAAGTACCTTGAACTTTGAAACTTCATGGGCAGCCCCACATATAAGTCATTGTAATCCAAATGGTTTTTTGTTTGTTTGTTTGTTTGTTTGTTTGTTTGTTTTACCAGAGCATGGATATTTGTGGCCAGAGTATTTTGTTCAATGGGAGCTACAGCAGGCTCATCAGGCTAAGAGAGACAGTGTGGTATAGTGAGAAAGAGTGCAGGACTGGGACTCAGAAGCTCTGGGTTCTAGTCTCCACTCAGCCATGGATCTTTCTGGATGACCTTGGGCCAGTCACAGACTCCCAGATCAACCCACCTCACAGGGTTGTTGTGAGGATAAGATTGAGAGGAGGAGGAAAATTATGTAAGCTGCCTTGAGTTCCTTGAAAAGGAAAAAGATGGGATATAAATATAAATAAAAAAGGGGTGAAGTTGTATTCCTGATAAGAAGAAGCAGAGAGCAACAGCTGTCTGCTCAAGGTGAAAGGAAAAATTAGACTTAACGCAACTAAAAGCTGGGATATTCTACATGACCTCATGGTTCGCTAGACAGAGGGAAGTCAGCCACTGCGAGAAGCCATGTGGAGGATTGGGCTGAAGTGCTATCAGTACACTGATGACTCTCAGCTTTACCTCTCTCTTATATCTCATCCAGGTAAGACAATGATAATTCGGAACCAGTGGGCAAAGTGATGGACTGGATGAGGGCTAATAAATGGAAACTTAATCCAGGCAAGATAGAGATGCTATAGGTGTGGGGAGCCTTGCTCCAGGCTGATGCTATCCTGGACAGGGCTGCACTCCTCCTAAAGGACTGAGTGTGGAACTTGGGGGTGCTCCTGAATCTGGAACCGTCCCTGGAGTCACAGGTGACATCTGTGGCCAGGAGCTCCAACTACATCTCTGTCTGGACAGGCAGAATCCAGCAATGTTAATCCACATTCTGGTAACCTCATGTTTAGACTACTGTAATGTGCTGTGTGTGGGGCTGCCCTTGAAAACAGCTTGGAAACTGCATTTATGTATTTATAAAATTTGTATGCCATCCATTACTTTCGTCTCTGGAAGGCTTACAACATTAATCAGAATAAAATAAATTAACTAAATTAACTATTCCATGCTGGCTGAAAATCCAATAAAATACAAACAATAAAATCCAATTAATACATATTAAAATATTGATCGAATAAAAAGGTCTTGACCTGGTGCCGAAAAACACATAATGACGGCACCAGGCAGACCTCTCTAGGGAGTGCATTCCATAGTCGGGGTGCCACCACAGAGATGGCCCTCCTTCAGGTACTCCGTCTCCTAACATCTTTCACAGAGGGTGCCCGGAGGAGGGCTTCTGCTGTACCAATTAGTACAGAATAGGGAAGCTCATCTGCTGACAGGGACAAGCAGGAATGAACACATCAGCCCAGTGCTGTATCATCTGCACTGTTTACCAACTGAAGTCTTGGCCTGCTTTAAGGTGCGTATGTTAATGTATAAAGCCCTAAATGGGTTAGGGCCTGGATACCTAAAGTAGCATCTCCTCCCATATACACCTACCTGGACCCTTAGATCATCTATGGAGGCCCTTCTCTGTGAGCCACCTTTAAAGGAAATAAAGGGCATGGCTACAAGGGGAAGGGCCTTCTTGGCAGTGGCACGTCATTTATGGAATCAGCTCCCCAAGCAGATATTCCTAGCACTGATATTATATGTGTTTCATAGCCAGGTTAAAACCTTTTCATTTTCTAACTGTTGAATATATTATTTGCTTTTAAGACAGTTATTAGTACATATAGAATGGCTGTTTAACTTGTTAGTTATTATGTATTGATTTATTTTTTGATTTTGTACAGCACTGGATTTTCTTTAGCAGGTCTGAATGTGAATACAATTAATAGGCAAGTGGCAGTACTCAGTAGCATGTTGGCATGCAAAGGGAGTCCTCCCATTTTATCTCGCATTATGCTCTTAATGCCTCAGCTGTGCATCATTTTTCTACCATGTTTCTTAGATCAGTGCTGGATCTTACTGCACTGCTGAATTGTCCATTTGAACCTATGGACACATGTTCTTCTAAGTCTCTCACTCTTAAAACAGTCTGTCCTAAGCCTGTTCATCCAAATACACAGAGTTGGTCTAAACGATATTGTGGGAAGGGCATTGAGGTTCTGCTTATTGAGCACTGCTTATTCTTGATTGTATGCCTAGCACCAGGAGAACACATGTCAACAAGGTGCATTGGGTAAGCTTAAGTTTAGGAGGAGTGATCTAATGACCTAGGCTAGTCAGTGTGAATGAGATAAGGAATGAATGCTGGAATTCTTGTGGAGGAAAGGCAAGGCATAACCTGAAGAAATTTCCCTTAAAGAGATAAGGCGAAACAACCCTGTTAGGAATGGCTTCCTTGAGAGGGCACAATAAATCACCAAGAGGTAAGGAAAAGAACATTGAAGACCTGGAAATTATCCCATCAATTGCAGCCAGCGAACACAAAAGACTTTTACCCATATGGTCAAGTAGCAGGCAGCAGATAGCGAAGGTTATCGAGAGCAATCAAGCAATTATCATAAGAGAAACAATAAAAAAACTTCCCATAGAGACTGCTATGAAGGAAAGCCTGTTTCTACCAGTTCAGTTACACACACCTAAATCTGAGTCTAACCCCCAACCTTTAGGAGGAATACAACCTTAACTACAACCTGACCATCATCTCACAACTCAGGTGAACAATAATGCAATAATCTGCTCTTATTTAGGTTATTTATTTATTTTTATTTTAGCCTTTGTTGATGTAACATAATCATTTGTCTTGATTCATTAGTAACTGTCAAAGTCTAGCTTTTCATCTTGTGTTGTTGTAAGAAATAGCCTACATTCTTACAGCATGTATTTGTATATCCAGCTACGGAGCAGCTGCTTCACCTGCTGAGAACAATTGGGAAAATGCTTTTGGCACAAGCCCTCAGTCCCCATCTTTAACTGAAACTAAACCTAAATACCTGTGACTTAACATACTGCAGACACTTCCTCCTTGTCAATTTTTGAGACTGTAAATTCTTTGCAACAGAATCTATTATCTTAAAGTGCCGTACACTTTATGTGCAATTTTTGTAAATTGCCATAATCATCATTAAAATATTGGGATTGGTATGCTTCAAAATCTTAATATTTTTGTTAAACTCTAAAGTCATTCTGTTGAATGGGAGAGGTTTTATTTATTTTGGTTTTGTTACTCCTATTAATATGCTAGAAGACAGGGAAACCCAGTCTGGAAGGCATACTTGAGCCCAGAAGGTAAGGTGGCTCTCAGGGACTCCATCAGTAGTCTCTCCTCCCATGTGGGTGCTCAGAAAGTCACTGGAGCATGGACTGTGAATAAATGCAGTTTACCAAAAGACTCACAAAGAGCTGTTAAGTGCACTGTTGCTGTTTTTGTAACCTAGAAATGTCCCAATATTTCCCTCTTTTTTTCCACCTGAAGCAAGGTTTGCAGGTTGCCAAGTCTTGTATTCAAGCACATAGCACCCGCTTTATCAATTAAAAATAATTGGAAAGTAGAATTGGCATAATCGTACAGCAAGGTGAGAACGCCCACCATTGGTACCATTAAAAGGAAGTAAATTGCAACATTTTCATTCATTGTATTTTACTGTCATACTGAGGCACCATTCAGCTTTCTTACAAAGCCCAAACTTTTTTACACTATTTCTATATATTTTGATTTTTTAATATTTATTTATTTATTTAAGGTATTTCTACACTGTTTGATTAGATGACCTCTCAGAACAGTTCACAAAATATACCTTACAGAATATACAGTTTACGAAATAACAACAATTTAAAAACAAATTTAGAACAACTTTGCCTGTCATATAACAACAACATTATATAAAATTTGACAGGCTGTGATAAAACAGTAAGAAAAAAATGCATAATAACCATTCCACCCTTACCAAAGAGTACACAGAAAATAAACATTCTTATTTAATGGACAGATAGATATGAAGAATATAATATAAAATCCATACATTTCATTTATTAGTGATGGTGACGAGGTGTTAGAGTTCAGATCTAGGAACATATAGCTGCACTTTTTATAAGACTATAGCTTTGAAAGTCCAGTTATTTGTGATTTTTATTGTAATAGGTACAATAAAACCATTAATAATAGAAGAAAAATTCATGTTCATTTATAAATTTATTTTTATCCTGCTGTTACATGAGTCATTAGTGCTCCCCGGTCCACAGGACTTAAATTCACTGCTGCTTGGCTTCAGCTCTTCTATAGCATCAGTTGCTCCTAGACCATTTGATGGGCCTATTTGCCAAAATGAGAGACTACTTACATATGGAAACAAAATTCATGTGCAAACATGTTTTTGGTTACAGGAACATCAAACTACTCTTCTGGGAAATACAATACAGACTGCCGTTGCAATACTGAACAACCTGGTTTCATGTAAAAAAACAAATATGGCGTTACTTTATGAACAAGGTATGCATTTCTAATGCTTCTTATTCACTGTACACTTTTTGTCTACCAGTATTTGGCTTCTTCACAAATATTTCATAGGCCATTTCAAAGCAAGTTGCTCAGAAGGAGTAACAATTTTGGTGTGGCTGCAAGCAGGCTTCAGCAGCTCTGCTTGCCAGGCATAATGAACTGCTTGTTCAATGGACTGCTTCAAGGCCCAGGAAATCCATCGACATTCCCCTTCCCGAAACTTGACAGTATTATGTCTGCAGATAGGTCATCTCTAGTTAAAACCTAAATCTACTCATAATCTGGTCAATAAACATTATGCTTTTCCTGAAGCAGTCAAGCATCACATTATGGTGCCTTCAGTAGATATCCCTCTGAAAGTGCTCTTCTCAGGAGTGATTTTATGCTGCAGTGGAGTGGCAGTCCTAAAGTTGCCTGTGATGAATGCATGGGGGTAGCGCTAAAGAAAAGTTCAGAAGTACAGTTAGTGTCACTTTAGACAAGTCTGCGTTTGCCAGAGCAATTTACATGTGCCTGGATGAACTTGTAGCTTCAGACCTTAACATCTTGAAAGCTGTTAACACAGCTTGCACAAGGTTTCCTAACTGGCAGATCTTCAAACAGACAGAACCTTGGATGCTCTCCAACAGTACCACAGCAGTCGCTGTTAATACTGCTGTGAGATGCGATGGTTGTTACATGTACCCAGGATCAGTGATATGGCATTGATGGGTTGCAAATGAAGTGGAATCTGTACTGATAGGCAGACTAAGGTATGAAGTGCCTAAGCTTCAAATGACATAAACAAAACTAGGGTAAAGATCTTTTTATTTAATCTCCATTTTAACAACGAATGCTATTATTTTACTTATTTATTTAAAGTTTTTGTATGCCGTCCCCTTGCTATATAGCCTCGGGACGGCTCACAGAAATAAATAAATATAATACAATACAATTAAAACCCGGAAATATTAATATTGCTAATTTATATACAGTTGCAATTTTATTTTTATTGCTTTTATTAATTAAGAGATGATATATTGTGGAACGTTTTAGGTTATTTATAATGTTGTTATGTATTTTGGAATTTTATTCATGTAAGCCATCCTGAGGCTTTAGCAAAGGATGGCATACAAATGTCTTAAATAAGGCAGAAGCAGGAAAAAAATGAATTAAATTCCACTTGTTTGAATGGGAGTTAGTCTCTAGTACGTGTGTATATATAGTCACAGCCTTAGTCACTCAGTAGGAAACAGGAAAGCTTAGCTACTCTCTGCTTCTTGACAGGAAGAGAAGAATGGCAGTTTGGAATCAGGAGCATAATTTAAGGATATTGGGTACTATACATATGTTGGTTCCAAAACCCAAGGACTGCAGGCACAGGCACCTGTTTAGTGCCAGTGCTATAATGGTTGCACTCATACCCATGCATACAGTGTCTAATTCTTTACTAGAACATGTACTGTTGTGTACTGATGTGTACAGATTACAAATAATAATAGGAATTAATAATATATGGTTTATTAACTGTCATGTGTCATAGCAACCATATTATCAAGCCTTCATATGATAAGCGTATTTTGTTCACACACAGTATTTCATACCTTTGAATCACCATGTGATAAAAGCAATAAGGGATAGTTTACCATGTGCTAATGGTAAACACAAGACTGACATGCTTTTCTGAATCTTTTTCTGCTACTTCTGAAGACAGACGAACCCTTTAGACTGTACTCAGTTGTGTTCTTCTGCTGCTGGAAGACCCTTTGATCTGGCCACCTCCCACAGCATTATGAAAGATCTCCTAACTCTCTGAAGCAGATTTTTATATTTTAATTATTTCATTTCATTTCATATTTTTGGTGAGGAAGAGTTCATGTGAAGACTGCAGGGTGAAAGAGGAGTTAGTAAAAATCACCTCCTTCATCATTCTGTTTTCAGGCATAGTTCTTCTTCATGGTCTCTGTGCAATCGCACATATGGGCTTTGCTGTGGAGTGCAAGGCCTCAATAGGAGAACCTTCCAAAGCTCAGCACCATGGAATGGGCGGAAGCATTCTCTTCTTCTATCTTCCTTCATTACAAAAAAAAAAAAATCCTTCCTCTGCCACTCAGTGAGGAGTCTGATGCCTTTCTCCGCCCTCTCCCCTGCAGAGTATCTATCCTCCTTTCTCTGCTTCTCTCTCCATGTGTACTCCTGCTTGAGCCACATGGCTGACTCGGGTCCTTGCTGCTGCTGCTCCTGTGTGGCCAGATGCTTGCCGCCGATGGGCACTCCAAGTGCCTCCTCTGCCTCGGTGAGGGGCATGTCATTGAGATCTGCCCCGACTGCCCGACTTTTAAAAAGCAGATCCACAGGCAGAGGGCCACCTGCCTCCACCACACCCTGTGGCAGTGAGCCCTTACAACAGTTGACCCCTCAGAGGCCGACAACCCCCACTTCCCACCAAGGGCACCTCCCAAGCCTCTCAAGGTTAGGAAATGACCTTTCGTCCCAGGCAGCACAGTTGCTATGAGGAAAAAGAAGTGCCACACTGTTAAGGACCCTGCCCCACCCGCCAGCATTGGAGACGACCCATGTCCTTCCTCCCCCACAGCCATCCATCATTGTCATGACAGATGCATCAAACACAGGCTGGGTGCCCACTGTACAGACATGTATGCGCAGGGCCACTGGGAACTGGACGAGGCTCCTCTCCACATCAACATGCTGGAAATGTTAGTAGTAGAACATGACAGGGCGCCATGTTCAGGTAGCCACAGACAACACCATCATCATGTACTACCTGAACAACCAGGGGGGAACCCACTCCATTCACCTCTTGACCCTGACAACCATCATCTGGCACTGGTGTGTCCAGAGGGGTATCACCATCACAGCAGTTCACGTGGCAGGGCATCTAAACACCCTGGCAGACTATCTGAGCAGCTCCCTCTCTCTCCCACACAAGTGGGAGCTGGAAGCCTCCGGCTTTCACACACTTTGCAAGGAATGGGGGCACCCTGAGGGGGACCTCCTTGCCATCCCCACAAACACCAAATGCAACTGATTCTGCTGCAGAGCAGGATGTGGCAGGGGGGTCCCTGGGGGACGCCATTCTTCTCAGGTGGGAAGGAGTCCTCTTCTATGCCTTCCCCCCCTTCCCCCTGATCGCCTCGACCCCTCCTCTACCTCCATTGAGCACATCCTTGCCTATCTACAGGCCTGCTTCGCCGTGGGCCTCTCTCTCTCTCACTAAGGGTCCACCTGGCAGCCATCTCACATTACCACCCACCTACTCAAGGGTTCTCCATGTTCACCCACTCCCTGGCATGCCATTTCCTCGGGGGTCCCCAGAACATTGCCCCCCAGTCTGGCCCCACATCCCCTCCTGGAGCCTCTCCATGCTCTTACAATCCCTCACAAGGAGGCCCTTCTAGCCCATGTCCATGTCAGACCTCCTTCTCTTCTCCTGGAAGACTGCATTCCTCGTAGCCATCACTTCTGCCCATCATGCCAGAGAACTGACTGTCTCGCAGATCGACACCCTCTCCACCATGTTCCACAGGGATAAGGTCATCCTCCGGCTTGACCCACTTTTTGCTCCCAAGGTGATTTCCCCCTTGCACATCAATCCTCCCTGCCTTCTTCCCCAACCCAATCTATCCCCGTCAAGGCCTTGCTCCACCCACTTGATATCAGGAGGGCCCTTGCCTTCTACTGGGCCTGCACTGAGTCACTACACCACTCTGACCACCTCTTCATATGCTACTAAGGCCCTAGAGCAGGAGAGCCCATCTCCAGTCAAAAACTTTCGAGATGGGTCTCCAGTACTATCTTTGTCACCTACGACATGGCCAAGATTTCCCTAATAGTCTGCCCATGTGTGCACATGCCGCATCCACTGCGCTACTGGCTGGTGTCTCACTCCAAGAAACCTGCAAGGCTGCAACATGGTCCACAGCTTCAACCTTCATCTGCCACTAAGAGCTGGACGTTCGTGACCGACAGGACTGCGCTTTTGGCAGGGCAGTACTCTCTTCAATCCTCCGGTGACGACAGCCCCCACCTCCTGGACAGTAAGCTTGCTAGTCACCCAGATATGTGATTGAACAGAGACCACGAAGAAGAAAGGCAGGTTGCTTACCCATAACTGTTGTTCTCCGAGTAGTCATCTGTGCATTCACACAACCCGCCCTCTGCAGCATCAGCATGTTGCCCTGCATGGGTCTGGGCAGGGCACAGTCACCTCTGTGTCCTTCACAGGTTCCTTGGATCCCTCGCACACCTGGGACAGTGCGGTCTTCAGGCAACTGAGGGACTGGGCGAGAGCCCCTCCTCATGCTACTGGATAGGGGGCGGGCTGGGCTCCCACCCACTGCATGGTGCTGAGCTTTAGAAGTTTCTCCAATCGAGGCCTTGCGCTCCGCGGCAAAGCCCATATGTGTGAATGCACAGATGACCACTCGAATAACAGTTACAGGTAAGCAACCTGGCTTTCCAAAATGTTGCCTACTAGTGAGGTCAGTGACTGTACTAGATACAGCCCAGTGTTTCATTTTTGAGAATGTCATTTTCATGATTAGAAACATCATGCCAATTTTATCATATGACCTATTGCCATATGGCAATTGTGTTAGCACATGACTCAGTTCAGTAAATGACTGATTTGACAGTTATTTACTTCACAGACAGAACTGGTGATTTGTTGTCTTGTCTTACATATGGTCAAAACTGAATTTGTTAACTATTTAATCTACTTGATCATCCAACAGTAGAAATTACTGGAAAGAAAAACAGGAACTGTATATTATTCATGTTTAGATTTCCTGTATCTCCTGAAGTTTGAATACTGAAGTAAAACTGAAAATCCAAATTACTGTAAGTGGAATAACCAACCTCTGGCTTGAAAGGGATCTGATAAAGCAAGGACCTTACATGCTTTGCTATTGTAAAACTGCCAGTAGCAACTCTCAGTTTGACTGTCTTGTCCAAAACTGTAAATAATACACAAAGGACACCTTTACTGAAAT